GTAGGCACTTTAGGGAGTAGGTACATACGCTCTTTGAGGGAGTAGGGACTTCAATGGAATAGGCACTTTCCGGCTTGTTTCGGGCCCTGAGCCTTGAATGTCCGAAGTGCATACGGTAATATTAGAACCTCGAGCAACCGCTGTTGACTGTGCGGCAAGGCTTTCCCGCCCCTTTGCGCAGTGTTACTTGGGCATGTTGATGACATTAAAGGGCACATGCACGATACACAGACAGCGTATCAAAACGACAGATTCTACGGAAGCCTTGGCATTTGCCTGCCTGCATATGTGTTTCAACCTGCTCACATTCTAGAAATCATTGGCTACATCCTGAAACAAACATGCAGAATTGATAAGCAAATGTAAGAGCTTTCAAAGGTCCGGACTTGGTGATTGGTATTCTCCCCATGATTGAGATGCTCCTAGTGGGGCATTCCTCTCAGGAGGTGGTTCATGGGGCTTTCAAGCTGAGACCCTGGAACAAATGCTCCAGGATATTACTACTGTCGCTCCCCCTAACGCTGGAGCTGTCAACAAAGACCCTTGTACTACATGATCTATATCAACAGAACTCCCAAATAAAGAAGCCAAACCCAGCCGAGACCCGCCTTTCTTTCCTCGCGGTGACGACCTCATGACACCAGGCTGGTGGTGTACGCTCATGGAGCAGTATACGCTTCTAGTCTTGCTTTGTTTCACAAGCCTTGTCAGCGCACGCAATCCCCAATGCCACACAAACGCGACGGCCGCTGTACAGCAGCTCAGTGGATGGAATTACCTAGGCTGTTATCACGATACCTGGAATGATCGATTGCTCAAGGCCTCAAGTGTAAAATTGTCGAACAACACAATTGTAGGTTGTGCCAAGTTATGCTCTACTCAAGGGCACACGGTTTTCGGCGTTGAGGACAACCTGGAATGTTATTGCGACACCACTCTTCACCCGATGGCGAATACCTCGTTGTCGGACCAAGCGTATTGTAACAGTCCCTGTTGCGGTGATGCTTCGGTATTGTGCGGAGGCGTTTGGTATATCGGTGTCTACCAAATTTCTTCTAGTGGCCGCGAGTTCACAACAAGAGACAGGATTGCTGTGGGCGTCAGCATCGGAGTCATGATGCTTCTAGCGGCCGTTCTCCTCGGTTGGAAATACTACAACAGACGCAGTATGAGCAAGTCCAAAAGCCTTCTTCCGCGCTTTGCATTCTGGACCTGCAGCAATAGCGAATTCAAAGGGAAATTTAAGGTGGCAGACCGCAGACCGTGGAGAAGGTTGTCCGGCCGGCTCCAAAATCCTTTACGACATTGGCAAAACGCAGTATGTTGGTAGCTTTTAATTGTTCGAGGACTTGCACTAATAAGAGTGTAGGGCAGTCACGACGAAGATTCACATTCAAATGTTACGAACGCCTTCAGGCAATGTGTGGCTTCCAACAGAGACTCACCAGTCATTGATGAGAAGCATCTACTACCGACCGACGATGCGGACCTCTTGATCAAGTAAGCAATATGTGCCCCTAAAATTCAGGCACAGTGCTAACGTGACTTATAGAGGACAGTGCGAAGATCTTCCAGAACTTCCAGGAGATAATCGGCAGCGCCAACCATACGAGGAGGTAATAAACCAGGTTGGCGGAAAAGTCGAGGTGATTCAATCCACCGAATGTGTGATGTGACTAATAGCTTTTGGCATAGGCTTTCAGCAAAGATATTCGAATAGCGATCGCAGGTGGACCGTATGCCCATGCGCGAGCACTGCTAGATACTCAATGTCAAAGCGGGAACTGGATCTCTCGGCGACTTGTCGAACGCTTAGGCAAAACCAGCGAAATTTTGGGCGTCAATAATAATCCAAGCCTAAAGGCCGTCAGCGGTCACAGCATAACACCCTATGGCATACTATCCCTTGACTGGAGGTGGAATGAAACAGGAAATAGAGTGCATCGATGCGATTTCTACGTCTTTCCTGAGTCAGACCATCTTGATATTATCTTTGGGGCCGAGTATATTGCAGCTGAGGACCTTGTCACCGTCCCTGTGTGCTCTTTCTCACCCCTGACGCAACATAGAAAGGATACCGACGGTAACTTCACCCTCAGCTCGCTTCCTAAAGAACCAACATTTTCTGACGGTCTGATTCTAGCTCAGGAGGCCGAGAAAGCCAAGGCAAAGCAGCAGCAAGAGAAGAAGAAGGCTGAGGTTGAAGCTCGAATAAAAGCATCTCGAAACAAGGAACAGTAGTAAAGCGGCCAGTCAAGTTAGTCGCGGGGCTAGTAGTAAGGCTAGTATATACGAAGCTGGTCGCTATTCAATAGACATGGCAAGCAATCGCAAGTGTTGGATGAAGCGTAGAGGGTATGGGTATTCTTGTGATATAGCACTCGATGTATGATACAGTCAAAGTTCTGCCGGTCTTTGTAGGAAGGCCTAGGGAGAAATTCACCGCGAGAGTCCTTATAACCCGACCCCAAGCATTTGCTTCCCATCGCTCCGCATCTTTTGTTAGGGCTTTGGTAGTCTGAACAATTCCGTGGTCGAGGATGCGATCGAATTTGTAAGCTTCGATCAAGAATCACTCGTAGCCAGTTGACCTGTACACTCTATTATTAGAGAAGAACTTGGGTCTCTCGAGAGCGCTCTTGGAACGTGAAAGCCCTGGTTCGAACATTGAGACTAACACCGTTTGGAGGAGCCCTGAGCCATCTTACCCCTCTACGCTGTCCGCAAAACGATCGAACACAGATTCATCTCACCACGTCGTCTTTTATACCTCGTTCCTATAGCGAGGCTGGTCCATAAGCATTGGCTATTGAAGAGTATAGTCGACCCCTTGACTACTGCAGGCGTTATATCTTAAATACTTCGTATGTGATTAAGGAATAGGGTTTTAAGCTCAGACGCTTCCCAACCTGACCGCGGAAACCCTCCGCCCTACACTCAATATGGTACAACAAGATTTAGACGCAGGGCTGCTGGTTTGTCGGGGTGGGGGGGGCCGGTCACTTGGCACACTCGTAATATTAGCGGCATGATCTAATCGTAGCCGAATAGAGAACATGTACTTCGGAACAAGTTCCTTAGTACGCGTGGAAAGTATTATGCTACGACCGCCTTATGAATATGGGTTTGCGTTTGCGTTGCTCGATCGTCCGATGGGACTATTCCTGGTTCCTTCGGTCGTAACAATCCTCGAGAATACTATAATAGACAATATCGTTACAAGATTGCCTCACCTCGTGTGAAAGAGCAGGGCGACGTCTCAATACTGTTGTCAATTGACAACCACGTATGTCGCCAGATACGTTCTAATGCAGGTGAGACAATTACATTGCCATGGGGCTACCAATCAGGATACAGCCCACGCTGCTGCTACAACATAAACCAGCTGTCAAGACCTTTTTCTTGCATCGAATCAATACCGTTGTCTTACGATGGAAGGTTATGCAAAATTGGCTTCCTTGATGGGAGCCAATCCTGAAGTGGCTATTCTTCGTCGGTTTGGAGCGATGAACGCTCAAAATCTACTATATTTTCAAGCGGAACTAGTAGCGTTGGAAGATGACCTTCGATATTATGCTGACCAAGACTCTGCATCGGATGACCTCGATCGAAAACTTTATTCAGAGTGCTGGGACTATCTCAGCAAATCGGACGATAAGAGTAGTGGTAGTGACGAAAGAGCCGGACAACAATGGCGGACAATGCTCAGGATACGTGAAAAACTGAAAGAGTATAGTTCGTCAAAGCCGATCCAACGAATCTATTGTTTCTCAATCTCGATTTTTGGAAGCAGTACTGAAACATTACAGACGAAGCGCTTCTGCACCAGACGGCGCTCGCAGGTCTTCAGAAGCCCAACCCCAGAGATCTCTCCTTTCTCCAGCAATGGATGGAATCTGTCTCAATGGGCAATGTGCGTCTGGTGGGCCAAGACAGTGATGTCTGGTCAAAGCCGGATAAATCAGACCTCATCGCTCTACAAGCTCGGCACGCCGACGATCCTCTTACGGCCTGGGTAACTAATACAGGGGTGCACTGGTGGCATCAGGTTGTTGGGAAATATCTGAGGGTACTGGTTTCCCTCCCACGCTGAAATAAAACGTCATTAATGATCCGAGCTTTTTGATGCTACTCTACATTGGAAAAAGCTTGGCTACTATCTTTACTTACTACGCCTTTACAGCAACCAGAAGCCACGAATTGGTCCGCCAATACAGTCTCCTACTCACAAACTGGGCTCTCCCGCCTCCCGTCCCTCGTCGGTGTAGTTCTAGCTTCTCTACTCCCGATCGCCTCCATCGTTGTCCTGTACACAATCAGCTCTGATCTAGTACGCTTGATCGTGATTGGACTTTTCACGGCTGGCTTCTCAACTAGTCTGAAATTGGTGACGAATGCGAGACTAGTTGACGTGTTCACTGCTACTGCCGCGTAAGTACACATCTGTCCAAAGGGTGAAGAATATGAAGGCTGATGGAGTGGGAAGCTTCACTGCTGTTCAGGTGGTTTTTGTGGGAACGAATGGGAGTGCAGGTGGAAACAATCATTGAAAAGATGGAAAGGGACTCTCAGGACATAGGAGAAATGTGCGGAAGATTCAGGAAAAGCCAGCGACCTGATTGATGTCCTCCTTAGTCAATATATCGAGATAGATTGAATCGTAGAACAATTGCTCTAGTATACACAATCAGCCCGAAATTCCACGAGATATACTAAATCTTGTCAGACATGTAGACTCCGTGAACGGTCGCCGCATGATTCTTAAAACGCATCACACGGTTGAGCGTGACTGTCGCACATTCGGGAAGGGGGAAAGGGCAGGGTTCGCGGGGCCGAAAAGGGCGACGACGGTCGAAGTGCCGCTGCAACGAATATTTCAAATGTAGGTTGGTATGATCGAGGCAGTAAAGGCAATCGTCGGGTTTATATCTTACAGGAGAGAGATAGGGAATCGAGGAGTCCGACTCAGGGTCGGACTTAACGGCGTTCAAGGGACGTTCTGCGTTATTCACAAGGACGGCAGAAGAGGAAATAGACAGCTAGGGGAGCGAGCAAGGTCGACCAGGACTAGGGGAGGGCGATTTAAAAAATGATAAATTCGAGGGCAAAAGTACACAAGAAGAGAAAGAATGGAAGAAGAGTTTGAGAGTCGTAAGAAAGATAAGAGGAATAAATTTGAGAGAGCGACCTTGGTAATTGAGTGTCTTTCCTATTGTCGCCGCTTCTCCATGAAGGCTCTGCGTATGAACTTTAACCAGACCATCAACTTATGTAGTATCGTAACGAACCGCCCACCCCAGACGGTGAAAGAGATACGTAACAATTTCTGATAAGAATGCCAACCAGACAGCAATTTCCTCACCTTCAAGAAGGCGCAGTCATTCAGACTCGCGTGACGGTCACCCGCGTCGCGCGAGAACAAAGCCGGCGCTAACCCTAGCGGGGGCAGATTTCTGTATTCTTGGCACCCGTTATCGATAAGCATAGGGCCGATGCCAAGACATCACCATCCACCGCCTTGGAATGGGAGAAACTTTTTTGGAGTGCGATACATAGCCATCCGGATGGCTCCTGTCCAACCTCGTACCGCCGAATCATTCACCTACCCCCAGTCCTACTCCTTCCCACCATTCTTCACCCTCCAACCCAACCTCCAAACCCGCCTCTCCCAACTCCGCAAATGGTCCCGCCTAATCCAGCGGTACTGCCGGCATCACCACGTCTTCAAGCTTTCTCTGGTCGCTGCCCTCGACACACCCTTGTTCAAGAACGCAGAACTGAGGAAGAGGTTGAGCGTGAACGATGCGTTGCAAGTGGTGGATTGGATGACGAGGGATGAGGGTGGTAGGAGGGCGGAGTGGATCGATGGAGGGGTAGAGGCGAAGGGGGGAACGACGTGGGTGTATTGGAAGAGGCCTGAGGAGTGGGCGGAGGTGATTGTTGGGTGGGTGGAGGACACTGGGCAGAAGAATACCGTGCTCACGCTTTATGAGTTGATGAACGGGGAGATGACTGTGGGACAGGGTATAGTACCTCGCGAGAAAAGGTCGAAGTCGAATGCTCACGGAATGCTAGATTTTCACGGCATGGACGCCGAACTGTTCCACAGATCGCTGGCCGTGTTGGTCAAACGGGGCAAAGCGCAGGTATTTGGAAGTGAAGATCAACAGGGAGTCAAATTTTTCTGAAGGATGCCTGCATTGAGTGCTGCTCTTGCAGCCTGAACGTTACCATCACCGAACATTTTCCCACGAAGCCGGGTCTGATATACAGACGTTCAATCGCCACCCATCTCTCTCGACATGCGAATAAAAAAGGACTTGTGCTGTCACAAACGCTCCGCTCAGTCGTCCAAATGCCCCCCATACGCTCAAGCCGTAAGTGTGATATCCTTTTCAGTCAAATTATAAGAGTCACGCCATTGGTGCTTTTGCGACAGCGCAAGGTCCACTATCCAGTCGTGGCGGACAACGAGAGGGTTCTTGCCCATTCCGTCGATCATTTGCCGGAATTTCGGCCACAATTTCGCCTCTTCTGGAGTAGTACCACTGATAAGGTACACGTATCCGGGCGAACTAGCCTCGAAGTCGTCACCCTCTTCGTCCAGACCTGCTCGCAGCGTTGCCGTGAATCCAGCGCGAGCACGATACATGAGGCACTTGCCACCATTCACCTCCGCGATGGACTTGTATGTCTCAAAGCCGCCGTGAATGAGCTCGGTACAATAAATCGAGTACCCTCGAAGGAGCTGACCTTTGTTGCTCTTTGCTCGAACGAGGGAATCGCTGAGCTTGTAGCCCATTCGCTTTTCGCTCTCGGTGTCTTGCAGCAGATAATTCTCTGGCTCAAGGCGCTTGTTTTGTGAGAGGCAATCGTTTACAAAGTCGGTAGATAGGATAATGGGAGCGTGTGCCAGCGCGCAGATGAACTTTTGTGTGCGGAGGATATGAGGAGAAGCAAGATGAGTGCAACTGGCGACATCAGGGACGATCAGTATTCCCATCGCTCGAAGTCGTGCCTATGTCATGTCAGTAATGCTCATAGCTGGTGAGCTGACCATTGTACTTACGCGCTCTTCGCCTTCCTTTTTGGCAGCACTTACCCACCCCTTGTATCCAGAGAGCGCCAAACGCATCGATGGAGGAGCAAGCCCCTTTGACTTCTTAGCCCTCTTCGTCGCCCTGGTCTCTTCATCTGCTCCTGTATCGGTATCTTCGTCTTTCGATACCGATCGCTTCCTGTTGACTTCGGGTACCAAATCTTCGCTTGACTTGCGACCTCCATGGGTAACCCCACCAACTCTCTTTCTCTCTTTTTGGAAAAGTGCGATATCAGGAGCGAGATCGTGCAACTTTGCGACTGCCTTGTCCTTTGCACTGCGACTGCCTGTGGTAGAAGGTGTCTCGTTCTCTTTACCCTGGCCGATGAATCGTGAAGAGGCTGGTGTTCGAACTGCGTTGCCCTCTGTATGTCTCCTATTCTCTTTCGAAGCCTTGGGGGTATGGCCATCAGATTGAAGAGCACGGAAAGGTACTTCTTGACTCCCCGCAGAACGCGATGGTTGGGGTTTCATGGCATTCGTACTCCTTGAAGATGTAGCGTTAGGAGGTTTCACAGACATTGGCCTCGGCACATCGTCACTCTCAGCAGAGGGATCAACGTCGGACCCAAGAGGGAAGAACATTTTTTCAACTGCCTGTTTGTCAATTGGCGTCTGCCCAACAACTTCGCCTAAGTTGGTACGGGTCGGAAAATGGTTGTAGCGCGGATCAGAGACGGTCTGTATCTGCCATTTGGCGTAGCTCTCTTCAAGCCAAAGGTGATTGACCATGTGAATGTTCCACTCCTTTGCCGCGTCGCATTTTTCACTAACCATATGAGCAGTAATTAGATGGGTGTTGTCCTCCTTCATAGTCTTGGTAAATTCTCCTCCTGCCGCTTTGGCAAGATTTTCCAAGTACACACGAGCCTCACCATTGTAATTCGAGAGACTGATACGAAATATACTGAAGCCAGGAAGACCCTGGTGAGCAACCGGATAGTGTAACAGCCGTCGCAAAGGGGAAGTCCATGCGTTGTGAGTGATAAGGTAATAGAGCCAAGCCAAGTTTCCGACGTCCTTCCCGGCCCTGGAGGCTATCCGGTAGTCAAGCGACTCTCGGTAATGACAGATGAAGATGTCGGCTTTGTATACGCTGCCAGTCACCATCCCTCCACCGTTTAAGATCAGATCTTCAATAGTGCCCAAAAGATGACTCCCCAATTCGAGATCCCGAGAGAGCATGACCTTCTTACCCTTGAAGACCGTGAGTTGGCGACGATTCGCGCTGGGCGAGCTGGAAGGCGTGGGCAGCCGATCAGGTTTAGGAGATGATGCACCTAGCATGTCTTGCCGTCCGGCCTCGGGTATACGATCTTCAGGGCGTTTCCGTAGGATCTCGGGATCCGGCAGGCAATAGGGCGCTTCATCAATTCGTTTGCCTAGTTTGAGGCAGTCGTCGAACCTAGCAAGAGTCAGAGCTTGTAATCGTCGCAGATTCTCGACGAAAGGCTTGTTACCAGTGTGGCAAAACAAATTTACACTTGACGTTCCTGCTGATGGCCGTTTTGCACTTGTCCGAGTCCATAGTCAGGGCTACAATGTGGGTGACCATCTTCGATACTGAACTAGAGTACAGTCCACCCATGGCGAGAACGCCTCCAATGATAGCATCTGAATCTCCACTTGGTAGATCGACGCAACAAACGACCAGACCGGAGAAGAATAGCCTAGGATCTGGGCTGTATTGTCGAGGATTTGCAAGTCTGCCTTTAGCAATCGAGGCTTTCACCCAATCTGGCTTGACCACAGACTTCAGCGCATCGTTGGCTGCTCCGTACTCAGGGAAATCCGTTGTGGTTGAGATGATGTGTGTGATGTCTTGCAAAGGAATCGGGTCCGCGATTGCTGTCCTGGTTATCTCTTCGGCCCCATTGTCTTCCAGTAACTTGGCAAGCTGAAGGCTTGTGTCAGCATCATTTCTTCACTCTCATCTGTGTGTTGTAACACGCACCTCGCGTGCGCTGTCTCCTCGAAGATCCCCGGTTTGCACGATGCAGAATTGGACTTGTGCGAATAAAGATTTGCTTTCTGCACCGTCCAGATCCATAGCGGCTACTTTCGACAGATCTGAAGATGGTCTCTAAGGGCAACAAGCTCTTCTTTATGAACAATATGAAAAAATGTGGCGGACGCCTCTGAGATGGGGGCTTTGCGCAAATGTTGACTGAAGTCGCGTCGGCAAAACCGTTATCGATTGACGCGCCAAGCTTTTGACACACGTGACCACCTTTAGCCGGGTTTGTTTCGGCAGATCGTGATGACTGACGAGCATTTGGAATTGGGGCTGCTGACGGCGCATATTGGTCCACACATCGTCACCGCCTTCTCATCTGATATTGTACATATGGGAACACCGAGTTCATGCGGAGAGGAGTCCTCAATGCTTTCTAATCATGGCTTGACTTGATATGAGTATCGAATTGTCTGTGCTGCTTGCTTGATGGCCAAGCAGCTAGGCATTGCAAGGGGCCATTAATGATTGATTGCTGTATATATCTTCGAGACTTTCCCTGTTCGAACAAAAAATTTGTTCGCTCTTTCTACAGGGAAACTGCCCTTACACAGGTGTACATAACTCGCAGCTCCCACCATGTCTCCTTCAATGTTCAGAGTGCAAGAGCATACTATTCCTTGCCAATATGTTCGAGAATACCCTGGAGCAACATTGGAAAATCAAGAAGATGATCTCGTCCTTCACGTCAAGCAATATACTCCCTTGGACCAGTCTTACACCCAAGCTGGTGCTATCACCATCATTGGTACTCATGCCAATGGCTTTCCGAAGGAGTTGTACGAGCCTCTGTGGGACGACTTAGCTCAGGCTTTGAGGAAGCAACGTCAGACCATCAGAGGCATATGGATTGCAGATGTTGCTCAGCAAGGGATGAGTGGGGTCTTAAATGAAGACAAGCTTGGCAACGATCCTTCTTGGAATGATCATTCTCGCGACCTGCTGCACATGATCAACCACTTCCGCAAGGAAATGTCACGTCCTTTGGTAGGCGTAGGCCACAGCATGGGCGGGAATCAATTGGTCAATCTGGCCTATCTACACCCACGGCTCCTGACATCTCTTGTTCTCATTGATCCCGTTATCCAGAACGCTTCTGCTGCAGCTCCGGACAAATCACGTTTGTCGCATACCCAAGCATCAACATTCCGCCGCGATGACTGGCCTTCTCGTGTGGAAGCCGCATCATCGGTCAAGAAAAGCAAGTTTTATCAGTCGTGGGACCCTCGGGTTCTAGACCTATGGATCAAATATGGCTTGCGAAGCCTGCCAACAGCTATTTACCCCGACCGCTCAGAAAACGATGATGACCCTGTGACCTTGACTACTACCAAGCATCAGGAGGTCTTTACCTTCTTGCGTCCGAATTTTGACGGCTTGGACGCAAATGGCAAGCTGATTGTCAATCGCCGCACGCATCCAGATCTGGATCTGAGAGCCGGAGACACGTACCCATTCTACCGGCCTGAGCCACCTGCAGTTTTCAACGACCTCCCGCGCCTAAGGCCTAGCGCTCTGTACATCTTTGGTGGGCAGTCTGATTTATCCACACCTGACTTGCGGAAGCAGAAGGTGGAGCGTACGGGTACCGGCGTAGGAGGTAGCGGCGGTGCTGAAGCAGACAGAGTCAAAGAAGTGGTGCTCGAAGACGTGGGGCATCTTGTTCCCATGGAAGCCGTCGCAAGATGTGCTACTGCCGCCGGAGAATGGCTGGCGAGCGATTTGAAGCGTTGGAGGAGCGAGGAAGCAGATTTCAAGCGGGAATGGGAGGCAAAGGAGAGAAAGGCGAAATGCACAATCAGTGAAGAGTGGAAGAAGAATATTGGCGGTGATCCGAGGAGAAAGTCGGAAAAGCTGTGAAGAGCCTTGTACGAGAATATGAAAAGAGTCATGCAGAGAGAGAATTTCAAGCATTCTATCTCCCAAGAGGCAGGTTGTCAGAAGAAGCGGCAGTCTTCAGAGCTCTCGTCTTTTCAAACTCGCACACTGGTGAGTTACCGTTTAGTCTATATTCACTTCTATTGGTTGTAAAGATACCCTGTTTTCGAACTCTGAATCATGGCTGCAATCTAACAGATGTGCAATGCTGCTATTGCCCATTGCCCGAGCTACAAACTCCTTCAACGCAGACAACAAATATCCAGCATTCTTCAAGACCGATGACTCGCTGCCCTTAAGATCTCTATTCCATACAAATGCTCCAATCAGCGAGTAGGATCGAAATCCGTACCGCAACCTTGGCGTAAGAGATACTCGTGGCCTGTCGTTTGAGGCACATCTGCTGTGCCGATTGTGTATGCTGTCCACCCTTGATGGTCTTCTATGGACAGATCTGCGACATACTGTGAAAGGGGACGACCGACTTCGACTTTGGAATGCTCGTGGGTTTGAGAATACCACATCAATTTGTGGAAATGTGTACTTGGGACAAGTATCTTTGTAACACATGATGAATCCCATAAGGAATGCGATTCTTCTTACTGGAAATATTGGTGATCGACTGCATCAACTGACGCTCCCCGCTCCAAGAGCAGCGAACAGACGTCTCGGGTTTTGTCCGGAGACATCATTTCAGCACGTCCAGCCGACTGCTTTACTCAATAGGTCTCTTTCCGGAAAGCGTTGTGGAGTGGTCTGTCATGAGAACGTTGACAGCACAGCCAACGGAGGTTCCGAATGCAAGGCCAGCTGACTTTGACATGGCTGCATCGGAAGGACAACCTGACTCACAGGTCGATTGTGATCAAACTATCATGTCGAAGAGACGGCCTGGGGTGACTATCGCGAATGCTGTGGTAAGCAATGTCATAAAAGCTATACGGAAGGCTGAGGCTCTAAATCTGTGACAGGGATGGCAAGTTCAGAACCACGATGGCTTTGTCAAGTCTTACATTTCGACTATGCGCTATGGCCCTTTCAGTGAGCAATGTGAGACTTGGCGGCGTATTAGCCAATGGTCTAGTATGCTACGATGTGTCATCTTAGGCGACAGTGACCCTGTCATCATCTCCGACGAGTTCACTGATGATGTCAAAAGCATCTTGGGACCTGCCCAAGTGAATTTCTTGATTTGCGGCGCAGGACATGATCTGCCTATGACCAAAAGCAGAGAAGTCTTAAGGCATCTCGTGGAATTTGAAGATGTGAGATCAAAATCCGATGTTGATCGTTCAGCAACGTAGAAGCCCAATAAACAGACGCAATAGCACCTATCCGTGGAATCCATCACTAATTGACGGGGTCTTCAACGTCGTCGTTGTGATATCTGTCATCTAAGACGATAAGAGACCTTCTAATCTTCTCCCGATAACTGGAACCCTGCGGTAGAAGTTTTTATGTAGATTACAGGCCAGTCTTGGGTTTACACACTCACCTGGTTCCACACATTTCTGGATACTTATGGAAACAACCGCTTGGGATTACGATGGTCTATGTCTATCTGCTATAATCCAAATTTCGTCAAGTTTTTTTCTTGGAAAGATCATGTCGAGCGCTACCATTCGCGCTCTTCGTCTGAACAACTTCTGGCAGAGACCAAAACCTCGGCCACGACAAGTCGTACTCATCCTGCCGTCCGTTCAAGCAATGCCTCAGCCAGATACCCCAAGTGATGTAGAAGTAGGCGCCGGTGCCGGTCATAAGATGCCTACAATCATGCGTTAGCAAACTGCTCTATTCAGCAAATCAGTGCTGATACGTACCACCACCCATGACCCTCCAAAAGGACCCCCCACGGCAGCCCAATGTGCCTTCGCCACACCCGCAGCTTCGAGCAATACACATTATCCAAACTCCAGATGAAGAAACCCCCAAGGAATGTCGTAAGACCAAAACCAATCATGAGCCACATCGTGCCCAGGATCTTTCTATCCCTCCTGTCCTCCCCTTGACTGACTAGCTTTTCATCGGCTGTCATACTCCTTTTGTGCAACAACTTGTACTCGCTCTCACTCTGCTTCAACCTCGGCCGCAAGTTCAATTCCATTACATACATGCTGCGCGTAAGGACGACAGCGGTGAGTATTGCGTAGGCATTCTGGTGGAAGGCGGGATCTTGAAGGTAGTGGTAATAGAGCGTGATGAAGATGGCGAGCGAGAGTAGGAAGAGCGCCAAGCAGAGCGAGAAGAGGCGGGAGCGCGAGTATGAGAAGGTCGCGTAACACATGAGGCAGGTGGTGTATATCATAGAGAGCTCGTCGACGAGCTGCATGGGATATTTGAGCGTTGCGTGAAAGAGGAAGCTGCCGGTCCCGACGAGTAGATAGCCAATGAAGCTGACAAGAAAGATGGTGTCATGGCCATGGTTGCGGCAGGATTGAATACCCCGATAGGCAAAAAAGACGAAGAGGAGGTTCGTGAGGGTATTAACTATCTCGGCGGCATATGGGGTCGCGTAGTAGTCCTTGTGGAGCTGTCAGTGGGGCCAATTGGAATCATTTTGGTGGAGTTTGCAGACTTCTTCGCACCAATTGATGGTGGAGGTGACTGGGTCCCAATAGCCACCAGCTGGGTTACCATATGCGATGGAAGGGAGCCAGGAAGACATCTTGAAGGTCTTAGCTGCTGATGCCACAGCAACGTAAGGTAGATCTTAGATGTTGACAAATGACCACGATTCCAAAATATTACGGTACTTATTACTTGAGGTAGATGCCGAATGGTACGCTAAGGGGTATACCCGGCGCTTGCGCTGATCCTCTAACCAAACATATGTGCAACTCAGATTCTCGGTCAGCGAGACGCCAATTGAGATTTCCTCCAAAAAACAAGCAGTTCCCAAGGTCTCCGGCCATTTCGAGTCTACTTTGTCCTGATTCGGCCGGTATTGGTCGTACAAGATGTCAATCCCCAATCAAGCTCTACAGAAGGTTCACCATATCCTTTCACTATTTCTCCCTGGCCCAGCTGATGTTGACACAGCTTGTTCAAGAAAT